AGAAATTCTATGATTGACATTTTGGCCCTCATGCTTTTTCACTCCTAAATTTTTTCATTACTTACCTTATATTATGGGGTTCATTATCCTTGAGACTCAGTAAATATTTTCAGTCCTCATGCTACCTTAAATTTATGTTCAGTGTGCCTTCATGTATATTAACTTTATTCAGTGATAGGAGTCATAATATGCTTACTTTTAATAATTATTTAGAAATCCACACTTAATGCGACTAACAGATACGTTTTCAACACACCAGAGTCATTTATCTAGACACTGCCGGTGTCTTCTTCATGAGGAGATTGATTTCTTTCCCTAATTATGGAGAATGTGTTTCAGCCAAGGTACAATAGGCCAAAGAGCCTTCTTTAACTCCTCCATCATAATCATTTTCTGTCATGAACTAAGCAAAGTAGCACATCCAGTGACTAGATGAAAATGCCAGAATTAGATTGCTTCCCAGCCTTGGATCCTTTCTGATATTCATTTTATGTGCTTAAAGAAAGCCCCTTTTGGGACAACAGGAAGCCTGTGAATACACTATAGGGAATCCCAGTTGAATATTGTCATCCTCTTTCCACACATTTACAAAGGGGCAGAAATTTATGAGAAACACTGTCATCGTTGAAACACTGTCATCGTTGAAACCCTGTCTCTTTCTGGGTCATGAAGAATAGCTGTACCTCTTGCCTTAATGTTACACCTGCAACATTTCTCTATACACAGACTTCAGATATGTAAGTTCAACTAGTTTAAAAGATTTGGCTAGGAAAACATTTTCCATCTGCACCTCAAGTGTATGTGTGTATGTGTATTTGGCTACATGTTGCATCACATGATGAGACTTGGAACTACCCTAACTGTGAGAAACTAAAGGCTTTCACTGGGAGAAGGATGAGAAAACAGGTTTTATTCTAAGCATGTTGGTGGTAAAATAAACCAAATTAAAATCCAAAGAGAATTGAGCTTTCCAGGTAGCTCAGTTGGTCAGAGTGTCCTCTTGATGTGCCAGCGTTGTGGGTTCAATCCTTGGTTATGGCACATACAAGAATCAACTAATAAGTGTATAGATAAGTGGGAAAACAAATCTATGTTTGTCTCTCTCTCTCTAGTCAATAAATAAAAAAATTTAAAAATATACAAAGAGAAGTCCATGCTAGAGAAAAGAAAGCTAAGTAATTTTTTGTCGGATTGAAAAATATTTTCAGTATCTAAAGAGATAGTTTTGATGCTCATGTGTAATTGTTCTTTTTATAAATTGATTAGCTTACATCTTAAGGCATCCCTTTGGAATGATGCTTGTTTATGTGGGGTTATCATTAAAAACAAAAACAGAAATACTTAAATAGTGTGATATAAAGACTTTTTGTTTCAATTGCAATTTCTAAGTGCAATTTCTTTTGTTTATGTCCTGTTAGTTTAAGAAAAGGGGTGTGGTCCTGAGGAAAAGTGACCATAGTGATTACTGTTTTTGATGCCTTCCTTTTTCTTTTTTAAGGTTTTATTTATTTATTTTTAGAGCGAGGGGAAGGGAGGGGGAAAGAGAAGGAGAGAAACATCGAAATGACAGAGAGACATCCTTTGGTTGTCTCTTGTAGGTGCCTGTCTGGGGACCAAACCTGCAACCTAAGCATGTGCTGTGCCCAATCAGCTGAGCCACACCACTCAGGACTCTGATGCCTTCTTTATGTACCATTTTCTCTTTCTCAATTTCAGGGGCACTTTCTAACTCTCCCACTTAAGTTTTTCTTTATGAAAAAGAATATGAGTGAATTCATTCTACAACTATTTATTGACCAATTACCATATACCAACCACTCTTCTGAGCACTTAGAAAATAGCAATGAAGAGAAAGACAAAATCTCTGGTCCCTTAGAACATATCTTAGCACATGTGAGAGGATTGTGATATAGAATATAATAAACACATCTAAATGATTATCAAGGACAAATGCAATAAATATTTTTAATTGCTTTGCCCTTTTTTGTGGAATTTCATCAAGGCTAAAAATCACTCATATTGCCCATCCCATAATTCTTGTGTGAAGAGACAAATATTAAATAATATAAATAAGTTAAATAAAATTGCATGATGGAGGGATGGTATATATGAGTGTACAATTTTAAATTACCTGACCAGGTGAGACCGCTGAGAAACAGCATTCATGTAAATATATGAATTATGTTAACTAGTCATTTTAAATTTGAGTTTCTTTTACTTAATTAACTGGAAAATGTTAATAAATTTCAGAGCTGCTAGAAAGTTATATTTCATTAATCACTATTCTAATTTGTTAATTAACTTACTGTTGGTAATTTGTCAGGCAGGCCTCTAGCATCAGCTTAGTTTATGACTGTCCATGGATTTCAAGGAATAAGCCATGTTAAAGCACAGAGAGAGCTAATAGGACAGGAAGCTATCACAACAAGGTGAGAAAGAAAGAAAGTAAATGAAGACATGGACATTTTCCCGAAGTGATCAGGCATCTGGCCTTTTTGGTAGTATTTTCATTGCTCATTACTGCCCTCAGGATAATGCTCAGACCTCTTTAATTTACATTAATACCCCTTCGAAAAATTGACCTCTTGCTGGATTCTCTAATAATAGATGTGTGTGTTCAATGGAACTTTATTTACAAAAATATGTTGTTTGCCAAATTTCTGCAGTCAGCCGTTTGCCAACCCTTGGTTTACTTTATGGAACTCTGCCATTTTTGGCAAACGGCTTTCATTCTAAAAGTTATCTCAGTAGTACAAGAAACTGCTTAATTTGCCATAGACATGTCCAAATTTCAGGTAGGAAGTTGGAAGAAAAGAAAAATGGTTAAAAGAGCACTTACCAGCTATTTCCTCAAGTAGAACCTTCCAATATATCTCATCTAACATTTCTTTACATGTCATTAGCCACCTCTCCATGCAAAGAACCTAAGAAATGTAGTTGTTCAGATGGATATATTTTCATTGAATAAAATTAAGGTTCTGTAACCAAGGAAGCAAGAAAGACTGGCTATTGGGTGGGCTTCTAGACGTTTCTGTCATAAGTACCAGATTCCGATCACTCAGAGTCATTTTGTGAAGAACAAATGCTCTAACACACAAATGCTGTTAGGATTGTGGCATGAATACTGTAAACTCTTAATAAAACTGACACATTGTTGGAATTAGCATTATTTTTATCTTTTGTGTATTTTGGTCTTTGTTGTATTTCCAGTGCCTAGAATGTTTTCTGGCATACCTACTGGCTCAGTAACTATATTTGAATAAATAAATGAACTGTCGTTATCATCAGTTAAGATTTTTTGTGTTGTAGGAAGCCCATTTAATCATTTATTAAAAGAATATCACTTGCTTCCAGAAGTGACAAGATAGCTGGAGAGTCATTCTCAGACAGGCACAGGTATCCAATTATTGCTGTAATTATTTAGGTACAACTATTTTTACTCTGTCCTTGAATCACTCCTCTCAACATTTAAAGCTTCATGAGGCAAAGTCTTATGTGCCAAATGTGACTGAATCATCTGTCTCCTTTTGGATGGAAAGAACAGGACACCTTGTTTTATAGTCCCATCAACTCTGCATGTAACTGGTGAGAAGCAAAAAGTTAGGATGAAATCCATGTGAAGGATGAAATCAGCAGGAAGATACTAGGCAGAAAACATAAGGAAATATCCATCACACATTCCCATTTCTTTTAGTGTGCATTGCTTCCGCGAATGCATGTTTGTATGTAAGAGCATCTCCATGGAGGGAAAAGAGGTCTAGCAATTTGGCCTGTGTGAACACAACCGTATCTTCATTTTTCCCCAATTAAATAGAAAACTACCACCTTGTAAAACTGAGCGCAGAAACCCTGAACAGATGACAGTAACAAGAACAGTTCTCTAAGGAAAGATGACAGGATATGACAGTGAGATTCTGGGGTTGATAATGAAGAACAGTAAAGAGATGTAGAGAAAAGGTTAGGGACTAAGACCAGATACAGGTGCTGCAGACTTAGGAAAGTGTGTCTACATAAACTTTCTTCTAATCATATAATTTTATAAACTCTCTCAGTAATTGTTTCTAAATACTTCATTTTCTATAACAATTATATTGCCATTCTGGATGATTACTGAGCAGCTGATTATCATCTCGGATTAAAAGTTGAACCCCCAAAGCTTTTCACTTTGTTTGCCTTTATTGATTTATCACGAAATATAGTTCTGTAACAACCTAGGGGTTTATGGCTAAACAAGTCACAATAGGATCACCTACTGTCACTATGCAAATCTGTCATATGTTTGGAATTTGCTTAAATTTGGTATATTCTATTGGGATTTCTAAGAATTATAAAATAAAATCATTCTCTTTATTGCTAGAGACAAAATAACTTGTATGATTCCCCCAAATTTTGATTTGCATGATTGTGTTTGTGCTACTATGGAACAACATACCAAGACATTGTTGGAAATTTTGTATGTTACTGAACTGTAAGTGCAGGGGTGCTATAGAGTTATGTAAACTCCTTTAATAACTTGGATCTAGAATTTTTTTATAGTATGTTTGTTTAGGTATTAAAGAATTGATAAAATCAGACTGATTAAAAATGACACCTCTGTCAACTCCTTAAATGTGGAGTTTATAAAGTTTAGCAAAAATCTTTTTATGAATCTAGACTTAAACATTTTTTTTTATGTCTTGTAGCCTTAATCACATTTATTTTATGAATTAGTATTAGGCAATGTATGTAAATGACATTAAAGAATGAATGAGAAATTAAAAATTGAGCATTAAGCAAAAAAAAAAACTTTAGAATATATTATTTAGGAACTGAAAATCCTTAACATTCTATAACTTGTCAATGTTTTCCTTTGTATAGTAATGCTAATCTTTTGATCTCTATGTTTCTCTTTTTGCAGTGCTTTAATGCATTATTGAAACTACAAACTCACAGCCACAGTGGTTTCATGTTGACAGATCGCATATTTTGAAAGCTTGAGGTATTTTATCATAAAACATGCCTGGTGGAAATTTTGAAGCATAGGATTCTGCCAAACACCTGAATAAAGAATTCCTTACCTGGTATGTTAGAGAACTTACCACCACCACCATGACGAACCAGGAAAAATGGGCCCACCTGAGCCCCTCAGAATTTTCTCAACTTCAGAAATACGCTGAGTGTAAGTATTCATATTTATAATATCTTATTTGGCATTTATGCTAAGCAAGGTACGGTGATTTACAGGAACAGACTACAGATTATGATCGGTATCGGGACAGATGTAGGTATATCATTTGTATTTGCAAGTAAGTCAACTGCAGACTACCTTTTTGGCATGAGAAAAAGGAAAAGGTAAATTTAAATCAAACATCAACTCTAGAAGAAAAGGAACTAGGATGCTAGATGCAAAACTAAACTTGGAAATACTTCACCTGTAATAGAAGTGAAGCAAAGCATAAAACGGCCTGAGGGAATAGAGACTGGCAGGACTATAACCAAGCAGAAGAAGGAGAGAGTTATAAGGAAGTAAAAGGATAAAAATAAATGGTATTATTCTTGAGTCAATAGGATCTGATTCATAGAGATTGGGAGGGAAGGGAAATGGGAGGTTTTTTTTCCCATTTCTCAGCCTAATGTTTCAAAAAGGACCAGGAGTTGGGAGTCATAGATACATTGTGGAGTTGGCTTTAGAGGTTGTAAAGAAAAGAAAGGCTGGCAGGACCTTGGAGAAACTTGTTTAGTGTGTGTATTTATAGAAAAGATAGATCGTGGTCATTTGCTTTACAGTGGGGTATTTTTAAATATTAAGTTTCTTTAGGTACACAATAGGATTTCATTTACAAGAAGTCTGTTTTTATCATATATTTCCAGGAATATGTCTGTTTCATGAAATGAGTTTTAGATAGATAGAGAGAAAGAGAGATAGATAGATGATAGATAGCAAGCAAGCAACTGGGTCAAGGCATTGAAGAGAGAAAAGAAAGCAACTGATAAATAGGAGGCACTAAAAGACTGGGAAGATGTTAAGTAGAGAAAAAGTAATTTATAGGAAACATAATAAAAATGGTGAGAATAAAGGGAATAACATGGTACTGGGAGAGTAAAACACAAGAAATGGAAAGAGAGAAAGAACTAATAGCTCACAACAGTGAAAAATGCAAAAACTGAAGCTGCTGGTGATGGTAAAACAGAGAGGAGTTAGGGTATATACGAGATAAGTGTTGGGAATAACGTGAATAATGTGGAGAGGCAGAGAAAATGGGTAAACATAGAAGACGGCTTTGGAGTAAAAAGAAATAAATGTGATGATAATAGTGAATAATAACATATTTACATACTATATATTGTAAGTCAGGGAGATGCATAAACAATGCATGCTATCTGAGAAATCCAACCTCAGGTTTTCTAGAGCTTTCCTAACTTGAGGGTGGCAGTACTCTGGGTCAGGGTATAGGAGTGCTGCTGAATATTTGCTGGGAAGTAAAAAATCCAAAAGAACATGGGCATTTTTTTAGTCAATGATGATGATGATGATGATGATGATGATACTGCTATCATATGGAAGAGGTGGGTATAGTATTTAAAACACATTTTATTTATTGATTTTTAGAGAGATGGGAAAGGAGGGAGAAAGAGAGGGAGAGAAACACTGATGTGAGAATCATCCAATCATTACCTCTGGCATGCATCCAGACAAGGGAACGAACCCACAACCCTGGCAACCCTCCAAGCTGTGGGACTACACCAAACCCACTGAGCTACACCAGACAGGGCAGGTGTCATAAATTTTTGACATGAAATGTAGTTCTAATACTCAAAAACTGTTTTGAGCCAGAACCACTGAAAGCACAATTCATTCATTGATCACATAAAGAAAATTTAGCCCAGAATGGTTCAGTTCTTGTTTACATCCTTATACTCAATAATTTCTAAATTGTCTAAAAATTATTTATCTATGGTTTCCAGTTTCTCTATCCTCTTTGCATTATATCCAGAAATCAAGTAAATATTTCTCAGTGTCTTCTTTAGGGACAGTATTCTGTTTGATGTTGTGGAGATGCAAATATGAACAGATATGGACCTTGCCTTCAAGGACTTTACAATTAAATAAAGGCTAATACTAATGGACTGATTTCTAGGTAGAACCTTATAAGTGCCACAAACAAATCTGGGGGTCCTGTAGGGTTTAAGTATTCACTTCGAGGTGTAAAAAGGGAAGTCTTCCTGGAAGAAGTAGGATTTGAGATAAATCTTGAAATATAGTTTTAAGGTAAATGAAGATGAAAATGCTATAGATATAAAAGGATATCCAGCATATATCTGAGGAAGAGAGATGAGCCACACCACTGATGAAGGGAGTAAGTGCACTTAAGATTTTAACAATGACATGGAATCAACATACACAGATGCTAAGCTTGAGTTAGGCAGTAAGGAGTAATTGTAAGGTTTTGGGGGTAGAGTGACATAAACAATGCTGTGCTTCGGAAAGTTTAATCGGACAACTATGAGAATTGTATGTGATACTTAATGGAAAGAGACTAGAGTCGGGCTACTAGTGGGCTACTGCAATAAACTAAATAATGTAGATGGATGATGAAAGAATACCAGAAAAATGGAGGTTCAGATTAAAACGAAGAGAGGTGAGCTTGGGAAATTAAAAAAAAAATATGAGAATTGAGAGCTAAATATGGATGCAGAATTTTGGTGACATGATCTCCCAAGTAAAAAAAAATGATGAATTTGATTTAGGTTTGTTGAACTTGGCTTGATTATTAAAATATATTTTCCATTGTTTGGGTGCTTATAGCAAAAAGTCCTTATAGGGAACATTTATATAAAATAGGTAAATTATTGCCATGATAGCTAAATTATCATTTATAATGGCTGTTAATCAAATATTTCAAATTTCCTTTGAATTGGTAAATGGAATTTAATAGTAAAGTCTTAAATATATCACAGGCTGCTACTTTTATTGAATAGGGAGGTAGATTTAATTATGTCATAAGAAAGCTTGATATAGTAATCAGTTTTGTAAATGCCCAAGTAATAAAAACTGTCATAAATGTAAAAGTTGTAACATCGAAACAAAGATTAATGAGCATTCAATAAATTGGTAGTAAGAAGTAACATGGTAAGTGTAAGAACATTATTAAAATGGATTTTGTGAGAAGATAAAGTGATTGATTAACATTGAATGAAAAAACCAGAGTGCTAATTCCATGATCATTTGACTTGCTATTAAAAAAAAACAAAACAAAACAAAGACAACATGAAATGTATGAGACTTAATCCTCCGTGACAGCAATTTTAAATCATTGTGCCACAAGAATTTTTAAAACATGCAATACCTGACTACTTAGTCAGGGGCACTGACCTTAAACTGTCAAATAAAAAAATGATAATAACCATCACAATAGCCATCTGGTAAGGGTGAATCAAGATTATACCTATTTTTTTCTAAGCTTGACAAAATGTAATATTTTTTTTGGTGTACTGCAGAATTTTAGTAATTAGTTCGTGTGCCATGAGATGAAAATGGTTGAAAAGCGCTGCTCTATGAAGTGTCCTATGCAATTAAGAAACAAAGACTATCATGATTAGAATGTCTCCTCATGTCATAAATTTCCATTGTCAAAACATAACTGGAAACACACTTATCATCCTGAAGATGATACAAGTAGTGTATTTTCCATGTTTTTCAATACATATGGTCTGTTTATCTGCAGTTTATCTGTTTATCTGCTGTTTAAGAATCAGATTTGTCACATTGCAGGGCAGTACTGGCAAAGTGACATTCATTGATAACTCTGTTATAAAAGTAGTCTGTTGGATGTGCTCTTTGGATGTCATTTTGTATCTTTTAATAAGAAATTGTTTATGTGTATAGGATAACTAAGTTAAAAACCTGTTATTGATTTAACTTTTTACTTGCAACATACTAAGATTATATCAAATAAAGTGTTGTATATGCTTTTGGGGGATGGGTTGGGGTTGTGTAACTCTAGGTCAAGTTCAATGAGTTCATGGAACCCTCACCCCGGCAAAACCAACTTATTCAAGTTATCTGATTTGGGATTTTCTCTACAGTTGCCAGAATATACTCCATGTGGGCTGTTATTACAAAGACTGGGTGACTTATATAAACAACAGAAATTTATTTCTCACAGTTCTGGAGGCTGGAAGTCAGAGAACAGGGTGCCAGCATGGTTGGGTACGGATACGGACCTTCTTTTGGGTTGCAAAATGTCAACATCTTTTCATGTCCTCCCCTGGTGGAAAGGGCAAAAAGGAGCAGCAGGCTCTTTGGGAACTCCTAAAATGGACTAATTCAATCCTTTCCTCAGAACTCCACCCTTATGACCTCTCTAATCCCAAAGACCCTTCTCACTAGGGCTAGGGTTTTAACATTCATTTAATATATAATTAACATAGTCCATTATACCTTGCAACTATAATTGATTTCTCAGCATCTAGGCTGTTCTCATGATTAATTGGGGTACCTAGAGTGATTTTGGCACAGCGTTCCTGGTTAGGCAGCTAACACATCAGACAGCTTGTGTTCAAATCTTACTCCTGCCATATTTTAGATTTCTGACTTTGGGAAAGTTACTTAACATCTGTGTCCCATTTTTTTGCACTTGTGAAGTGGGGAAAACAATAAATACGGCAAGTGTTGTAAGTATTAAATTAAATGACTTCATATATGCCAAGTAATAAGAACATTGCCTGGCAAATTGCTTGTGATATGACTGTTCATTATTTTAATAGAGAGGGAGTGAGTTTGTTATGTTGGCGATGTGAACATATTGTTGATAATCAGGTAGAAAGGTGCCACATTTTGGAGTTTGGGTCAGCGTCTTATTTTCCATTACAGGACTAGATTCTTTCCACAAGGTAGAAGATGCAGGTTCTACTGGCAGCCACGTGTGTCTTCCCCACGTGTGCTGAAGACAGCTCCCGTGAAGCCTGCTGTGGCTGCCGACAGTGTGCTGAGACCAGGCTCCTATTTAGGCTTTCAGGCTGAGTCAATCCATGGGAAAGATTTCCATTGATATGTGGGAGAAGAGTGTAATTTTCATTTCTATTCTTTCTATGAAGCCATCAAACTGTAGTGATAAGATAATGCTCACTCCCGCCATGTATAGAATTGAGCTTATCACATTATTAGTTTGTCACTGT